GACAGAATAACAATTTCAAGTGAATTTTCTTCCATTGCTTTTGCAGTAAAATCACATTTTTTCTAAATGGAAACATTTTATCCAGAAATTGAACTTTGAAAAATGTTTCAATAAAAAAAGAGTTGAGGGTTAGTTTGCTGTTTTCTTATATTTTGTTTTTTCAAAAAAACAAAAAACAAATTTTATTAATCTTTAATATTTTTGTAAAAATTCAATATTTTAATTTTTTTTGTTTCAAATTTTGTATTTTTTAGATCAAGTTCACAGATTGCATCATCTTCACTTCTATCCACTGTAGTGAGGAGCATAAAGTTGCATTTCAATTGTTCAGCACGAACATGATAACCTTTTTATTCGGCATAAAAAGCAAGCATTTGTATTTGCATAAAGTGAAGAGATTAAGATTTGTTGAACGCAATTTGAAAAAAAAAATCAATCTGAAAAACAAAAATCTCTAAAAACGAAAATTACAATTTTATGTGAAAAATACAACTTTGAAAAGAAATGTAGAAAAAATATAGAAAAGAAAAAAATCTAAAGTTTTAATTCTGGATTGCATTTTATAAAATTTCTATTTGCAAAATGTGATTAAAAAAAATTATTCTATTTAAACACGATGTTGTTAGCTTGCAACAATAATGGAACAGAACTCACTCCATACTAACAAAGTACAACAACATTAAAGTGTTCAAATTGACTCTGTACTTTAACTAGGCCAACTTAACAGATAAACAGCCTTCATTCTGTAGCTGGAATTAATGTTAAAGGTCCTTTTCTCATAATAAGGTGAGTCTTAGTCACACTCTGTTTTTTTTTTTTTTTTTTACAGGTTTTACTCATTGATTTAGCTCCACAGGAAGAAAAAACAGAGATGAGAATTTTTAAGCTGGTATATATCTAAACATCCAATGGCAGCCAACCAATGCTCTGATTTATCTGTGCTTGGAGGCCATATGTGTTTTTTTTAAATCTTGAACCCTAGGATTACTGTATATCTGTTTCTCAACAGAAAAATCACAACATTTCTGATATAAATGATCTCAGTTATGCAGGAAAAATTAGAGGAATAAAGACGTACAAAGAGGAGTTCTTACTTTTAAAAAGCAATATAAAGGAAGGTAATAGGGATATAAATATAATACTACTACTAATAAAGATTGTTTGGTTAGTTTAGGTTTTGGTTAAAAAGGCTATTTGGAAAAAAAGTTGTCAAAGGTGCGTTCTCACCAAACGGGATACCTGAGAAAATTTTGCCTGTTTCATCAGCTCTTTTCTTGATATTTGCCTGGCATTTTGCATGCCACAGGGATTCACACAGCGGGTCAAAGCCTCGTACATCATGGAGCATACTGGTCGTTGGTGTCAACCCAGCATGGCAGACACAGGTTTAAAAAGCGACTGGAAGTCTTTACTTTAGAAAGCAAAAAAAAAAAAAACTGGCGGTATTCCTGGGTTAACCAGATTACCAGAGAGGGAACCAGCATGGGGGGATACCACCACCCCCTCCTCAAGCATCTACGTCTGGATGACGGTCGCTTTCAGCGTTACTTCTGCCTATCTGTGACTCAGTTTGGGATCCTGCTGTTCTGCATTCAGGGACGAATCACCAGGACAACAAATGGTTAGGTGTGTCGGCATTCTACGGCTGTGCGAAAAAACGGGCAGAGAAAAAAACTGAACTGGGACCAGTATGCTGGCCGTGTCAGCCTCTAGAACTGGGGAACCACGGCAGAAGATCTGAGGATCTGTTGTAGTTAATGCAGATACGCCATTCCCCTCCGCAGACACTCTGCTGCACCATTCCAAAAATGTAGGTGACAGCAGACAGGAGGTTTCTGATTGGTCAAATATACATCCGCTCTACACTATGCGTATTTCCTGTTTGGTACCTTACCGGCTTGTTTTGTTTGTATGACCGCCATTGGGGAAAAAGACTCGTGAAAATGGGCCCGCTAGAAGAGCGAGGTGCGTTAGAACGCTGTGACCCTTTTACCTCCTAGATCCCCGCTCTTTTTCGCCCTCATGTCCCTCAGTTGTCGTACAAACTTGCCCCCACTTCCTCACCGCCTCGGCCGTATCTAGACCCACAGCTAGTT